ATCTAGCTTCCTGTCACATAGACACTGTGTGTTCTTGGTATTTTACACCTAGCTGTTGGGACTTTCACGATGGGGGTTGGTGGGTGTCGCTCAACACCAACAGACTTGTTGGTAATATTCTTCCTACACTGGCTCCTCAAATGTCCGTGCTTTCCAAAGTTCCAACAACCTTTCTGGGTACCAGCCTTTCCTGCTGTGGCACCTCCCCTGTGTTGAAGTTTCCAGCATTGAGCTCTCTTGTGCCCAGGTTTGTTACAGTGCTAGCAAAGTCCCTCAAACCTCTCTGAAAGCTGATCTTTTCTGGCCTTGAATCCAGATGACTGTACCAACCTCGGTACCTCTGTGCTGGACTTAATATAGGATTCAAATTCGAGAGCTCTGGCCATTGCATCCTGCATGGTAGAGGGGTGTGCTTGCTTCACTTGTATCTTAAGTTGTGGACTGTCCAAGGCATCTACGAACTGATCCCTCAGCAACAACTTGAGGAGATCGAGTGCTGACTTTCTTCCTGTTTCCTTTCTTGTTCCAGTTGCCACTGCTGTAATTTTTCTTCTTGTTTCTTTTCTTTTTCATCCAACAACTGCTGTAATCTCTCTTGTTTATTTTGCTGTTCGAGCTGCCATTGTTGTAGATTTTCTTGTAGCTGCTGTTGTCTTTCTTCTTGTTTCTTTTCTTTTTCCTCCAACAACTGCTGTAATTTCTCTTCTTGTTTCTTTTCTTTTTCTTCCAACAACTGTTGTAATCTCTCTTCTTGTTTCTTTTCTTTTTCCTCCAACAACTTCTGTAATCTCTCTTCTTGTTTATTTTCTTTCTCCTCCAACCACTGCTGTAATTTCTCTTCTTGTTTATTTTATCGTTCTTCTTGTTTCTTTTGCTGTTCTTGTATTGCTGCCATCAAATCTGCTAAGCTGTAGTTTGATTTTCCGCCTCTCGTTTCCATTTTTTTTAATTACACTTCTGACACCAATTTGTTACGTCTCTGTTCGTTAGTTAATTTTCCGTAACTTCGTTCCGACGAAACTTTAGCGACACAAGTCCTTTCTTAAATAAAACTGGTTTATTCTTTCCGAATACAACTTTACGATACACTCAATTTCAACAGTCGCGCTATAATTCTCAACGAACGTCTCACGAGACGTGCTCGAGTTCAATTACACTCTCTGACTGCAGTTCAATTACTCATTACCTACACATTGTCCCGTCTCGTTGTTACCATTTTATATATACCAGACTA